GGGAGGGACCGGCGGAGGGAAGGAAGGGGAGGATGGGTGGGGGGGAACGGCTCATTCAGTTTGAATTTGCGGTAATTGAAGCCGCTCGCAGGCGGCGAGAGCAGATGCCATCCCAACCCGGCAGCCGGGGTGTTTGCAAATCCGGCTGGTGTGGCCCCCCCCAACTTCTTCAGCCCAAACCGGGGGTGGCGGCGCATCCCTCTCTGGAACGGAACCAGGGGGCCCGGGCAGCGCCGGGGGTCGGTCTGCGTGTGGCTCTTTTATTGCTGCCCGGGAATATCTCCTGTGCTGCTTTGTTTTGGTTTCTTTTTTTTTTTTCCTCCCCATCTTCTCTCCCGATCGTCCCTGAACCCTCCCCCCCGCCCCGTGCCGGGGAAACGTGCGACCGCGACGCCGGTCGTGACCACCCCGCGGCTCCGGCGGGCTCGGCCCCGGCTCCCCGCCTCCTTCACCACCCGCTGCTCCATCTTATCCCTCCCGGCGCCCTCCTTCCTCCTCCTCTTCCTCCTCCTGATGTGCAGCGGGGTTACTAGCCGAGATAACGCGCCATCACACCTCCTCCCCCCGCACCGCCCCGCAGCCTGCATTCCCCCCAAAATGCTCTCCGGGGCTCGGTGGAGCGGGAGGAAAGAGGCGACCTGGGCACCCATCCACCTCCAGGGGACAGTCCTTTCCCCACCTCGTGGAGAGGGAGAAGAAACGGGTGTTTCGCCGTTTTCACCCCCCCGGCTGGAGGCTGCGCTGGCGAACGGGAGGCGCGGGGAGAGGGAGAGCGGGGATGGGGGATGAGACGGAGCCGGGGGAGCCCCCCTGCTTCGAGTTTCCCGTGGTGGGTGATGCTCTACCCAGCTTTGCTTTACCGACGGTCAGGGACACTCACAACCTTCAGCTCCTGCGGTGGAAGAGCTAATAAAACGGTTAATTCATTGAAATGCCTCAGGGCTCATAAGGATTTTAACCTGAAACCTATGGGATCAGCAAGAAAGTAGTCAAGGACTACCTATTTGTCTTTAAGCTCAATCTACGGTTTCAAGTTTTGCCCGCGTCACTGTGTTAGTTAATACCTTGGCGGGGGGGGGGGAAAAA